GTAGCAGTTGATGTGAAAATATAAAAAAGTCGGCCAGGCACAGTGGCTCACACCTGTAATCCTAGCACTTTGGGAGGCCAAAGTGGGTGGATCACGAGGTCAGGGGTTCAAGACCAGCCTGGCCAACATGGTGAGACCCCGTGTCTACTAAAAATATAAAAATTAGCTGGGCATGGTGGCGGACACCTGTAATCCCAGCTACTCAGGAGGCTGAGGCAGGAGAATCCTTAGAACCTGAGAGGCAGAGGTTGCAGTGAGCCGAGATAGCACCATTGCACTCCAGCCTAGGCAACAATGCGAGACTACGTCTCAAAAAATAAAAAAAGAAAATATCAAGAAGTGATTTCATCAGGCCAGCCATGGAAATGAAAGTCAGGGAATAATGGTAATATTTGTGTTGAATATGCCATTAAATTAAATCTTGCCAAAGGCTATATGACATGAGAATATGCAAGCAACTAAATCCCCTCTTTACTACTTTGTGAGCCCCTGACTGAATTACTTGATCTCCCTGAGTCTGACCCAACTGTAAAAGGAGGTAATGGTGATGATGGTTCTTCCAGCTTCACAGAGTTTTGAAGGATGAAGTAAGATGTGCGTGTAAAGCCTAAAGCACACTTGTAGGGCTTCCCATTCTTTCCAACAACTTGGTTTCAATACAGATATATTTCCTTTATGAGATGGTCCTGCAAAGTCCTGGATAAATCTGATTTTACAAAATATTTTCATGCATTATAGGAGCTTCTATTTAAAATATTTTGAATAATTTGTAAATAAATCATCACTTCTTATTTTGTTTGGTAAATCTGCATTTTTTGCATAACACAATGGTTTTTCATAAAGTGGTGAGGAGGTGCATTTATTGAAATAATCAATGGTGCACTAGACTGAATACAGCCCTTTCCTAATTTGCTTAGACAAGTCTCTACTTCTCGTGTTACAGATCAATAAAATAAGAGCTAGTTGAACCAGATGGCCTTAAGTTTCTTTCTAGATGTGGCCTCGGAATTTGTGACTTTATCTTGGGACATCACAGTGGAAGAAGGCCCATAAATTTTTATAGCGTAGGAACTGTGCTTTTTATATTGGCTGGCTTGGAGCCATTAGGTGCCCTAATAAGTAGCAAGTATAATACTAAATATAAATGCCAAGTGACTTGCAGGAAGAGGAGGACATTTTTAACCATTTTCCCCAAATTGGAAAACAAATTTAGGCTTTTCTTTCTGATTTTTATACCTACAATTGGGACCAATATTAAAACACAATGCAGTGGACAGAGCAGATAGGTAGTAAGGGAGGAGTGCCTTGATATTCCTCCTTAGGGAGCTTACATTCTACCTTGGAAACAAGATATACACACACCAGCTAACTAGGCAAGATATTACATGCCATACATCAGGAAAACAATCTGAAACTTTTTTTTTCCCATTTTATTTTTCATTCAAGTGCCTGATCTTGAATTAAATCGTTTCCTAAATTCAGCAAAAGAAATGCAAAAGGCATAAACTATCTGCCCAATTCATTCTCTTCAAAGTTGCATCCTTTTTTAAATAAAAATTTGAATTTTTGCCAAGAGAATTCAAAGTAAGAGAAACTGTTTGCAGTTAGTGATTACAATTCCTGAGGAATCGAGCTCAAGAAAACAAGATTAAGGGATCCAAGTTTTTACTCTGAAGTTTTAAAATGAATTATTCAAGTTAAAATAATTCCATTGGTAGCTATACAACAGTGTGTTTTGAAAAGGCTTCATAAGTTGAGTTTTCAAAAATTATTTGAGCACATTAGGGAGATTTGTAAATTCTATAGAAATAGAAACAAAAAGTAAATGAGGGTTGTTGCTGGACTGGGAAAAGCAAGAAATGGAAAGTGACTCAAAATGGGAGTAGAATATCTCTTGGGAGTGTCCTAACATTAGTGGCAATTATTGCATAACTAAAAACCCATACCAACCCCCACTGAATTGTAATAATCATAATGCTAAGGGTAACCGCAAATGCCATTTCTTTGCCACTGACCCCTGGGAGACTTACCTAACGCAGTGCAATGGGACCCTCAGCGTCTTTAGTAATGGAATGAAATGGGCATATCAATACCCACCTCCATAAAATAACAAGTATTAGGATGTCCTTTTAAAAAATCCTATAGAGAATACACATGTAAAGTGAATCGTTTTTTAAATCTCTTTTTATCTCTCGTAGAAATTATAAGATTCTAGATCACATTGGAACACTCCCATTCATTCTCTTGCTTGAGCGAAGGTAGGTCACTGATCCGAAAGTGAGAGCAGAAAGGTAAAGGGACATGGTCTGTCCCCTCACCATCCCTGCTAAGGCACTGGCTTCTGACGGCCTCCTCCTTCATGTCTGGCTCCCTCATATTGTCATCTTCTTGGGCAGGGATCCAGTCCCCTTCAAGTTGGGGGCTCCCTGGTAGCTGCCACCTAACTGTACACATAATTGGGTCTTGATCATTGTTCTTTAGCTGACTTGGCCTAAGCTTGTTAAAGAGAACATAGAAGGAAACTTTTAAGCCTCTTTTGGATTAAGTCTTGTGCTTGGCGCTTATATGTATTTTCTCATTGAATACTCACTACAACAGTGAAGTCAGTTTCATTTTAGAGATGAGAAAACTTAGTCAACTGGAATGTCCTTAAAAGGGGGAGGACCTTTTAAAGACTGAAGACCTTTCAGTATGCAAGATCCTGAATACTGGTCATCATACTTGCCTTTTTCACTCTGTGGCAGGCACTGTGTTAAGTGCTTTTCAGGGATGACTCATTTACTCTACAATAAATCAAAGAGATAGACACTTATATGGTTTCCATTTTAAAGATAAAAACACCAGACTTAGATAATTCACTTCTGTCACACAGCAAGTGACAGAGCATCATCTCGCATGTCAGTGTGTACTTTTAAGCACAGTGGAGCATGGTGGTTCCCAGCCTTGTGTCAGCACCTGCGAACTACCTGTGCATTCACAAACACAGCGATACATGCACTCACACACACTCTCAACCCTTTCCCTGCACCTCAACTGCTATTTCTCCAACCTGGCTGCACATGACAATAAAGTGGAAAGTTTTTAAAAGGTCAGATTCCAGGGTCCTACCCCAGACTAATCAGATTAGAAGTGGGAGAGTGAGCCTCTTTGGGTAAATAGGTTCTTTTTTGTTGTTTGTTTTTGAAACAAGAGTCTCGCTTTGTCACTCAGGCTGGAGGGCAGTGGCGCGATCTCAGGTCACTGCAACCTCCACATCCCAGGTTCAAGTGATTCTCCTGCCTCAGCCTCCCGAGTAGCTGAAATTATAGGCATACACCACCACACCCAGCTAATGTTTTGTATTTTTAGTAGAGACAGGGTTTCACCACGTTGGCCAAGCTGGTCTCAAACTCCTGATCTCAGGTGATCCACCTGCGTTAGCCTCCCAAAGTGCTGGGATTACAGGTGTGAGCCACCGTGCTGACCATTTGGGAAACAGGTTTTTAAAGAGCAGAGTAGGCTGGCCCGCATTCCAAAGCACCCGTGCTAGCCACTGTCTAGAGTTAAAGTTCTTTCTGTTGCTCATATTTAGGCTAATGGTTTTAATTAGCTCCTTGAATGAGGTAAATGTCTGACATGATTATTTATGGATTCCTGCATTTAGCCTTGTCCTTTGAACATAAGAAGTGCTCAAAGAGAACTTGTTGAATGGAATAGGTAGCAGTTTTCAAGGAAACCATAGGCAGCAGAACTTAAAGGGTAGCAACAGTTCTGCTTCAGTTAGTAAGCCTCGCTCTGTAGGAATGGCTCCTGCCTGGGCTGTCTTATTTTTGTGCCTGATGGGTATATTTAAGGACTTGTATATCTTGGCATTGCTTTATATATAATACTAACACCACCAATGGAGAATGGAGTCATTTCTGGTAAGTAGCATTATATTAATATGTAATAATACAATTACATCTCTGTCTTCATCAGCTTCAGGTAAATGCCTTCGGTCAAGATGAAAACGCAGAATACGAAGGCGGGTGAATATTGGGATTATAGGAAATCTGGAAGCTTCAGGAGAGCAAAGATAACTGCTTACTTTGTTCTTCTTCCAGTGATTGAGCAGAGCTGAATGGAGGACAAGCTCAAGAAAACCTGAACATTTTAAATGACTGGTTTTCAGAGTGCCTCAAGATGAATGTCAGGAGAAAGTTTTTAACTTCGTAAATTTGTTCCTAACAATCACTGTTGAACGTGGGGTATCTTCCCCAACTATTTCATAGACCGCTAAAGAGAATCTATTGAATTCCACAAGCATTTTTTGAGTGCCTAATATATTCAAAACACTGGGTTAATAGTAGACTACGGCAGTGTTTTTCAGTCTTTTGTTCATTATGCCTCCTCCAGAATACTTTTTAGACGTTGTGTTCTTAATCCCTCCCCCAGGTGTACTGGTTCAGGTACTGTATGTATATTTGTATTTTATTATTATAAAAAGAATAAGATTCCCCCCATCCCAAGAACCAAGTTTTGCCCCGTTGCTGGGCACCATTACCATTAAAGTAATGTCCCTATCATCAACACTGGGTTCATTTTTCATTTGACAGCAGTCTTGGTGATTCCTGGTCAGGAGGGATATATAAACATTCCAGGAGACCTGAGCATATTTCTGTCTCTGGGCTTTGCTGCCTAAGCTGACTAGGATCCTGATTAAAGACCTTTTTGGTGAAGCAAAGATCCCAATAAGAACTTATGACCAATTTCCTACAGCTTACTAGGAAAGCTGTATCATAGTTCTGGAAACAAGTGTGTCACAGTAATTCTCCCTCATGGCCTGGTACACGCAAGGAAGAGTAAAATAAGAAAGCTTGACATTCTTCTCTGTGAGATCAATGCTAAATATATGTGATCCAAAGGCTATGAACATTGAAATAAAGGACAGTGGGTAATCGAAATCCCTCCACCCTGTTATTCTGGCCCTCTAATTAGAATGCATTTTAGTGTTATCTCAATTTTTGTGCCTTTCCCCTCCTCTTTTGTTATTCACTATACAGGAAGCATCCAGGATGTGGGAACATTGTGACATTTGCACAATTTTTATTTATTGCTGTGGAAGGCTTCCTCTTTGAAGCTGATTTGGGAAGGAAGCCACCAGCTATCCCAATAAGGTATGGTACATTAGAGTCTCTTTTAGCTTTTGGATTTTTTAAGAAAGAGGTGGTACCTGTATAAAAGGAGTATGAGACATTCTTTTGTAAGATTTATTTCAGAGATATCAGTAGAATACTAAGTCATTTTCTGAATTTAATACGTTGTGAAAATCCAGGGTGCCTACTTCCAAACTAAAATTTCTGTCACAAGATTTAAAATAACCATGATGGAGAGAAGAGTGTGTATGTGTGTGTGTTCTTATTTAGTATGAGATTACTCAGAAGGCCTAGTGTGACCACAGATTTTATGCTGTCTTCTGTGTTGGTAAAGTTTTCAAACATTCTAAAAGAGGAGTGTCCTTGTTTCTCTTTAAAAACGAATGGCTTTTGGAAATAAATAGAGGTAGTAGTTACATAACTTTGTGAATGTACTAAGTGCCACTGAATTGTTCAGTTTAAAATGGTTAATTTTATGTTACGTGAATTTCACCCCAATTAAAAGAAAATAAATGGCAAGCGAAGTCAAAATTTGTTGATGCCAGACCTGTAGTCCATTAGTCCAAATTTGCCTAATTGTACTAATGGGGCCAAATAGAAAACAGGGCAGTTCTATGATAAACAATGTATTGAAAACTCACCTTTCTTGCTGAGAGTGACTCGAGATAAAAGTGTAATCCATCCAATTGTGAGAATTTAGTAGGATGGTATCACTTACTCCCTTTTAGAGCGACATGCTGGTATGAATATATCCAAGTACGAAGGCGAAGGCCCGGCTTTGTTGGTTTTCTTTTGCAGCATTCCTACGTAGCCTGCTATAGAAAATCTGGCTGAATTTTGTTAATATTATACTTTTAAAGTTCCCAATGCGATGCTAAATATTCCAGATACTTTTTGTTTTTCATTGGCTTTAGTATCTGCATAAAACTTTCTGCCCCTAAAGACCAGCATTTACATTGCAGTAAAAGTCCCAGAATTTCTTGACTCCTCTGGCCCTTTCCCGCCTCTTCCCACCGTCTCTCCCCATTCTCTCTACCACTAGCATAGATCAGGAAGTATACCCTGTCACCATATCTTTTATAATAGCATCCTAGCTGACTGACTTCCCTGCCTCGCACCTCTTCATCCATCCATTTCACTTAATATCATTTGATCACGTGGCCTCACTCTGTGGTTACCATGATGTTCTTAATGACATCCAGACTCCCCAGCCTGCCCTTTGAGGGTCTCTGTGATCTTGCCCTCATAACCATATTCCCATGCATGTCCTATGTGCGGTGGCCATTTTATTTTCTGTAGGTGGAGCCATAATCAAAATTTTGCTCATGTCATTCATCCCCATTGACAATTTCTAGGCAAGCAATGTGGAATAAATTAATTGTCCTAAAAGACCTTGACAAACTCTCTGTAAATGGCACCTCTTCAAGATAGAACTAAGAAAATTTGGCAAGAAACCTGATAAAGTTGCAGATAGTATGTTATTTAGAAGCTGTGAAGAAGCTGTTGCTGGTAATTTTGCATGTGTGTTCGTTGTCAAGTTCCTCAGACTCTCCAGACTATATTAGTTTAGCCTTGGCTTGACTGGCCTGTTGTGGTGTATGGCTCCACACCTAACTAGCAACGCAGAATGGGTTCTTTCAGGGAAGATCGCTTAGGACTCAGTGCCGTCATATCCTTCAGCTGTGCAAAGGTGGAAAATGGTTGGGAATCTCAAAGATCAACATTTCCTGAAGAATATGGAACCACGTATTTGCCTTTGCCCTGCATTCTTTAGCCATTTATTTTAAATACTGTTTTTTGTCTTACTGAATATGGTAAGTTGAGTCATGTGAAATTTCTGGCATTCAACTTGTTGACCTATAAAAACGGCAATTTTATATGGTTTAGCCCAATATATGTAGAAGGCATCTTATGTATTTTCTGGATCACAGTGATGACATACAAATGTAAAATTGTTTGTTTATTCATCTGTTCATAGTTATTCATTTGTATTTATCCCTTTAAGTTATTAGGGTTACTGGATTTTTTTTTTTTTTTTGGTTTTTGTTTCTGTTATTATTTTAAGACCTATAAACTTTCAAAAAACAGAGACCCTGATTTTAAATAAAAATCTGTACAAGTCAAACCATGTCCTCATTAATTTGGAGGCCACTAGTTCAGAATGCGGGAGAGTTTAGCAGCTGCTAGGCTGAAAATAATCCTTAACTTAGCGAATACTTTCTTTAGAAACAGCGAAAATTAACAGTACAAACAAGTGTATAGAGGACGTTTTTGAGAGAATCAGCCATTTGCAAGTTCTTCAGAGGTATATGAAAATTATTTACAAAGAACCAATGCAATCATTTTAAGTTGCTATGTATACTTGAAAAATATTAAATAGTGTTTCTTTAAATGTATTTTATAACTCACACTTTCCCATGTTAGTCTGGCTTTGTGAAGCATTTTGATACTTACTTAGTAGTTGACATTGCATGATAATAGCGATGCAATTTTGTAACACAGAGGAAATATGCAAAATGCCTTTTTAGCCAAAAATACATATTTCCTGTACTTGATTTTCTTGAAATCCTAGATTCTGTTTGATGAGCTATTCTGTCTGCATTTCAGGTACTATGCCATAATGGTGACCATGTTCTTCACCGTGAGCGTGGTGAACAACTATGCCCTGAATCTCAACATTGCCATGCCCCTGCATATGATATTTAGATCGGTAAGTGCTGCCGGATCCCGTGTGTATGTTCGTCTGAAAAGTATAGTTAAATAGGTCGATTGAATATATGGCAGAACTAGAAGGGTCTTGTAGTAAGTGGTCTTGAGTAGAAGAATAGGTTTGTGAATGCATGAGCAAAAATGGCTTTCATCTGAAAAGTAAGGCAAAAAGAGAAATCTCAAAGTGGATGGTTTACTTTTATTCATCTGAGGTCTAATGAGTGATTAATAAAAAGAAAATTAAATTTTCCCTAGGAAACAGATTTTGCCTTCATTTTCCCTCATCTCTTTGATTTTATATTCAAACATGCTATGTTATTTAACATATTTCTTATCACTTACTTCTTTCTTTCATAAAAGTACATTTACTTCCAGAACATGAAAGAGATACTTGTCTTTTCTGATTTTATTTTTTAAAGCAGAGACTTGAGATAATAAAGGGAAATTCTTGATGAAGGTAGGGTTTCTCCCAAAGCACTCCAGGCAAAAAAGGCTGATAATTGTGATGATAACATTTCCATGTGGTCTGAGATTTTTGTGAGATTGTACTGTTCCCGGAGGGAGTTTCCAAAGCAATTATAATAATTAAGGTGACCTTCAAAGCATTGAAAACATAGTAGACTTTCAATAAACACCTGTTGATTGATTGTCGCCTTTTTAGAGAGCACAGAGATCCTTGCATGACTTTTCCCATTAAAACTAGTCAGGAGCTGGGCGCGGTGGTTCACGCCTATAATGCCAGCACGTTGGGAGGCTGAGGTGGGCGGATCGTTGGGAGTTCAAGACCAGCCTGACCAACATGGAGAAACCTCGTCTCTACTAAAAATACAAAATTAGCTGGAAGTGGTGGTGGCACATGCCTGTAATCCCAGCTACTTGGGAGGCTGATGCAAGAGAATCACTTGAACCCGGGAGGCAGAGGTTGCAGTGAACCAAGATCACACCATTGCATTCCAGCCTAGGCGACAAGAGCAAAACTCCGTCTGAGGAAAAAAAAAAAGTGTTCGGGGGTGGAGGGTGCAGGTAATAGGGAGAAGCTTATTAAAAGCTCTTATAAATTAGGTAGATGGAAATTTTGACAAATATAAGTCCATGATATCATTTATTCCTGCTAGCCCTAGCTTCAGCACTGACCAATTATAGGTGACCCTTGAACAACATGGGTTTGAACCGTGTGGATCCACATATATGCGAATTTTTTTCAAACAAATATGAAAATACAGTATTCGTGGGATGTAAAACATGCCTATACGTACGGCTGATAATGACTATATTGAGAATTGATGCTTTTTATTCTCATTGTCATCTTTAAAGGGTTTTTTTTTAAATATATATACACACACACATAGATTTTTGGAGACGGAGTTTCGCACTTGTTGCCCAGGCTGGAAGTGCAATGGTGCCATCTTGGCTTACTGCAATCTGCACCTCCTAGGTTCAAGCGAGTCTCCTACCTCAGCCTCCTGAGTAGCTGGAATTACAGGCGCCTGCCACCATGCCCAGCTGAGTTTCGTATTTTATAGTAGAGACAGAGTTTCACCATGTTGGCCAGGCTGGTCTCAAACTCCTGACCTCAGGTGATCCGCCCACCTCGGCTTCCCAAAGTGCTGGGATTATGGGCGTGAGCCACCACGCCCAGCCATCATAATAACTTTTTATGGTTTATACTTTTGCCATCATAAGAACAACTAAATCTTACTAATTACTCATCCTAGCCTCCTTCATTCCATGTTTTTCCCCCTTGCGCATGTTCCTATTCATCTCGAATTATGTTTTTTTCCTAGTGCACTAAACCTGTTACTGTTGTCTCCTTTGGCAGGGTTCTCTAATTGCCAACATGATTCTAGGAATTATCATTTTGAAGAAAAGGTAAACAATATACTTCTATATTTTGTGAATGGAAATGATATCCTGAGCCCCTGTCCATAAGCTAGTCATCTGGATTCCTTGTCTCAAAGTAGTGATAAGTTTGCTTCTGGCCATCTGCCTCTTTTCTTAGTTCTTGACCAGTGAGGCCCAATCATGCAATGTCCTGAAGCAGCTGACCAGGTAAGAGGCGACACCTGTGGGGTCTCTATGTAGAACTGAATAGCCATTGTTGAATTTTAGTATCATACTAACCTGCGAAGCCAACTTATAAAGATGATAGAGAGGTTCACTATGCAGTATGGTCACCACTAGCCACGTGTGACTATTTACATTTACATTTTTCAAAATTAAAGAAAATTAAATATTTAGCATCTCAGTTTCATTAGTCATGTACACTTTTTTTTTTCTTTTTTCCTTTTTTGGAGACGAGGTCTCACTCTGTCATCCAGGTTGGAATACAGTGGTGCGATCTCGGCTCACTGCAGCCTCCAGCTCCCAGGTTGAAGTGATCCTCCCACCTCAGCCTCCCAGGTATTTGGGACCAAAGGCATGTGCCACCATGACCAGCTAATTTTTTTTGTATTTTTGGTAGAGATTGGGTTTCGCCATGTTGTCCAGGCTGGTCTCAAACTCCTAGTCACATTTTCAGTGCTCAGTAGACTCATGTGGCTGGTGGCGACCATGTTGGAGAGCCCAGACGTGGAACATTTCTAACATCCCAGAAATTCCATGGGACGCTGCTGCCCTAGAAGATGCTTATGAGTACAGCATAGCGAACTAAGGAATGGTTGTACATATTAAAAAGGAAATTCCTAACAAAGGCCCAAATAGCCAAGAAGATGGAAGGAAAGGTTCAGGGCTGTTCTTCGTGACCATCACCAATGGCTCTCTTTGGGATAAGAGCAGGAGGTACCAGAAGTACCTGGGATGCTTTTTCAAAGTATTTGTCTCTCACCTTCACTCTGAGCTTCACCCCTCACTCCTAAGCAGGAAGGATGTTAGCGAGAGACAACACATACAGTTTGGGAAATTTCTCAGGGAAAGTTCACTGGTAAGACCAAAACTATGTAAGTGATGGCAACTTTTCAATGTATTTGATATCCAGCCCCAAGCTCTCTATACGTGCTTGGAAAGTAGCTTTCAATTCAGAATGTGAGAACCTAGAGTTTTTAAGTATTAAGGGCTGTGTCATAAAAAGAACAGCTGTCCTGTCCTACTAGGCTCCGTATCATGGACCCTTTATCTCCTGAGGCTTGTGAATTCCCTGAAAAGTACTACTGTAGTTTTCTTTCTTTCTTCTTGGTTCTCTGCATTTCAACATGTGTACATATGATGGTCAGGTGTATTACATTTGAAGTGATCACCATGCTTCTTACAGTGTGGAATTCGCCTTGGGACAGGCCTGTGCTCTTTTCCAACCTTTGATTCTGGCTCGTAACAAGGATACCAAAGAACACGTTATAAGAGGAGTTGTGTTCTCCTGGTATTGCCCCAAAATATTAGGGGTCTTTCCCAAGCATCTGTTGCCCTTAAGGACTTGTTCTGACGGTGTCATCTTGCATCTGTCTAAGCCTTTTGACTCTTTTCTATGTGTATCTCTTTCCCATAGAGCAGGAATTTCCGTAAGTTAACCTTCCAATAGAGTGAATTAACTTCTTATCTCCTTTTCTCTTGGGTAGAAGACCCTCAAGTTCATAGTGTGCTCCTCATTCCAAGCTTTGAAGATCAAATCTATATTCACCTTACCCATGCCTTTATTATTCTTTTTGGCCTGAGTTGTAAACCTCTTCAGCATGATCTTTCCGAACTGAAGAGGTTCATTATTTTTTACCGTACGTCCGCTCATACCTGCTTCCTCCCCAACTGCTCTCTAACATGGTCTTCTCGGCCCTTTTGGTCCCTTTCTCTGCTTATTAGCTAGTTCTGCTGGCCTTTTACAAAGTACTGTGACCAAAACAATACTATGTATTTGAGTAGAAAACCTGGGATGGTTCGTCTTCTTAGTTAAATTTCTTTTAATCCTTGCCTGAGGCCTTTTGCTTGATCACCAAGAATCTGAGAGGGTGCTAATGATACTAGCTAATGTGAAATGGTACTGCTATTACTGCCTGTAGTTCTATAATCTGAATATCCTTCCCCTCATCCAACTATGCCAACATTTTAAAACAACATTAAGTCATTCAGAGATTTAAAAAAACAAGCCTCCCCCAGAGAATGAATGATTGGATTATGTTCTGAGTATTGAATCCTGCCACTTGCACCTGATAGCCTGTTCTTCCACTTGCATAGTGTGTCTTAGGACACAGATTTGGGTCCCCTAAAGACAGGAAAAGCAACAGATCCTAGTAAGGACTGGGTCAGGCTTTCATTTGGACTCTTGAGAGCAGAATGCAACATCACATCCGGTCTATTTCTGCTTTTATTTCCTGATGAAATAATCGATTGGTCAACAAAGTGTTGGAGACAGACTAAACAGTACCAAGGAAAAGTGTTGGTTAGAAACCAGTCAGTATCCTGATTCATTCATATGCATACTTCTGTGGACTCTGCGGAAAATAATCCTGTCTGTCATATTTTAGTGATTTGTACTTTCACGCACCATCTGACTGTAAATATCACTGGGAAATTCATATCTCTGCTTTCCTAAGGTGTTTTTCTCCTTTTTTTTTTTTTCTTTGCAGATACAGTATATTCAAATATACCTCCATTGCCCTGGTGTCTGTGGGGATATTTATTTGCACTTTTATGTCAGCAAAGCAGGTGGTAAGAAGCTCACAAATCATTTTATATTCACTACTTGCTATCGGGGCCCAGTTACCAGGCAATTAATAAAATTCAAAATTTTAGGTAATACAAAGATTTTGAAAGAGAAGAGGGGAGGGAAATGGGTAACATAAATATTTCCCTTGTATGTTGGCGCCTTGCATGTAGTTCTGCTCTCTGTACCTAGTTTATTTTCTTATTTCCTAGACTTCCCAGTCCAGCTTGAGTGAGAATGATGGATTCCAGGCATTTGTGTGGTGGTTACTAGGCAAGTACAATAATTATAATAAAGCTAATTGCCTCTGCAGTTGTGTTTGCTGAGTTTTCTCCTAAGAGACATGTTTCTTGGCAAGAAGCTTCAGCTAAACAAATTATGCCATGGAAGAGAGGCACCTGGGATCATATTTCTCTGAACCTTAGCGTTCAAAAAAGGAAAAAAAGAAAATGCCCCCACATCCGTGGCAATATGTTCTACAACATGGATCCATGTTTTTCTTGGATGCCACTGGTGTAGAAAGAAGTGTGTGTCTACTTGCCCATCACACTCTTTGAATGTCATCCGTCTCTTCACGATCTGTCTGCCGAGCTGAAGCTTCTGCAAGAGAAGGGCACGTTAGAGCAATTGACTCTTTAAATTTCCGAGGGACTCATTTCTATAGACTTATTTTCTTCAGAGGTTAGCTGTTCCATATGGCAGTGTTCCCAAACCTGACTGATCATCAGAATCTCCTGGGGAATTTTTAAAAATACAAGGATCTCTCTGTGGAATTAAATAGGCAGCTCCTGGAGAGCTTTGTTCTCCTGTTTTTTGATATGGAGGTGAGATCGTCCCAGGGGCTTTCAATGATAACAATAACAGATTGAGACTGACCAAGTGGAAGAGAAATAGCAGTGAAAGAACTGTGTTCTCCTTGCTTCTTGGCTTTGAAACTTTATCCCTTTAGGGTGCTGTTTGTAACATAGAAAGATCCTCATGCGCTATTAGAAAAATACCCAATGAGAAAAATGTGCAAAGGATGTGAACATAAAGTTCACGGGGGAAATAGTAGTACCCAACAATTTTAGCTTCAGCCTCACTAGTCTAGTAATCAAATAAATGCAAATTGAAACCCAAATGCAATACCTTTTTATGTTGGCCTATCATACCGGCAAGATGATAAATGGTTATCTCATTGCTGCTGAGGGTACAGTAAGACAACTATTTTTATAAAAATAGTTTGGGTATAAATGGACACAGCTTTTACGGAAAAATGTATATGTACATTTTTAAATATATTTATTTATAAAAAGTATTGTATTTTTTAAATGTCCAACAGCCTTTGACTCAATAATTCCACTTATGAGGGTTTATCCTAAAATATATCAACATTTGTTTAAAGATTTGTATCTTTAAAGGATGTACATTGATTTTAATAATGAAATAATTGGAAATAACCATTCTCATACGTCTAAGTATGCTATATCCATATCATAGTCATTAAAAGCATTCTTTTGAAAAAATTTTAATGACTGATTTGAAGGAAAAGTCCAGGCAAAAGCTCATGAAAAAAGCAAGATATAAAATTCCATATGCAATCTGATCCTGTCTTAGTGTAAAAAAATTTACATAAATGAATATATAAGGAGATGTAGAAAGCTGTAAAGGACTAGATGGTAATAATGTATTTTTATTTCTTTTTACAATTTTGTACATGTTCTACAATTAGTTTGTAATATTTGCAGGACTTTAAACAATAATGTTCTTCAAGAAGAACATCTGGAAATGAACAAATGCAGACATCTTGTAACCTGATGTTTTTTAGGTATTGGGGCACTGACTTTTGCTCTTCTGATGTCCGCAAGGATGGGTATATTCCAAGAGACCCTCTACAAACAATTTGGGAAACACTCCAAGGAGGCTTTGTTTTATAATGTAAGCCACTTGTTGAACCTGGGAGCATGAAAATTCCTAAGTTGTAAAATGTTACTCCAAGTGAACTATTCCCATTCTTCTGGTGTAATATGTTACTCCAAGTGAACTATTCCCATTCTTCTG